ACGATCTTCTCGTGGTCCCAACCTGACGCTGCCAGTATTACATTTCCAAATACTTCTCCTTGAGCGTTGACCTCTGCTCCGTTGTCGAGGAGTATCTGCACGATCCTCTCGTGGCCTTCAGCTGACGCTGCCTGTAGTGCATTTTTAAAGTATCCTCCTTGAGCGTTGACATCCGCCCCGTTGTCGACGAGTATCTGCACGATCTCCTCGTGGCCGTAAGCTGACGCAGCCTGTAGTGAAATGCCATCCTCTCCCTGAGCGTTGACATCCGCTCCGTTGTCGAGGAGTATCTGCACTATTTTCGTGTGACCGAACGCGCATGCGTAAATCAATGCTGTGCGACCTAAGCTATCGGGTTGGTTGAGGTCGAAGTGCTTGTTTGATTGTAATGTCAATTCTAATGTCTGGCCATGTCCTAGTAATGCTGCTAGGTGAATCGAATCCATCCGTGGCTGGCCTTGGGATCGGAATTGCCATATCGATTTCTTTATCATATGCCAAAAGATTGAGAACCACAAAGCATCAACGCTAGCATTGACATCATATAAGGGCGAGATCCTAGTCCAGAGCGAGTCGTTCTTTGACAAATCTGCATCTTGGACGTGGCGGGGCCAGTGCTCCGCTGAATAGGCGAAAAGAGTCTCGACCGGTTCGTCCTTGTTTGAAACATCGTCGATGTCATGATGGTAACCCTTTATCAATTTCTGTACCAGGGACTGTGCTCTAGGCCTGATGTCCTCAAAGCACAAAAATTCGACGCATATTCGAGTCATCTCTTTCTCAACTCCTCGCGGATCAAGACAATGTTTCCATCCAGATGACGGAACTGTGGCGTCGTCGTAGTAGACCAAGAACTCCTTGGCTGTCTGGTGAATGAGATATATTCGGTCGTGATTGATGAAGACAAAGAGACCGCACCAGTGGCGAATGTTGTTTTTGAGGCGGTCAGGATCGAGTCGAGAGTCGTGTAGGGAAATTGGGTGTGTCCTCGTGGCTATTCCTAGAGCTATAGCCATCTCTTGAATCGTTAGTGGGCGGTGTGCCCCGACCACGATCTGGAGGATTTTCCTCTTTTCCTTGTTACTCTTCTTCTTAGACACTCGGCTTAAAATCTTCTCGTATGCGTCTTCCACACTCGATGGCAGTGACTCGAATGAAGCTTGTTCAGGTCGTAGAGTATGTTGTAGAGTCTCACGAATATCCTCAATGGCGAGATGGAGCCACAAGTACGTACGGTTCTCCATCTGACGTAGCTTGACTTCAAGTCTTTCCTTGGTTCGATATTCTAGGGTGGCCTCTTTCGCGAGTTCTTCTACACGTTTTCGAATAACCAAGTCAATTTCCCGGTGGATTTGGTCGTTCTCCTCTTCACCCCGTAGTCGAATAGTAGGTAGGTCGTTCAAGGTCCTCTGAAACCTGGCTTCAATGTCATCGTACGGTCGACTAGTGACGAGAAACTTCAATCGTGCTCGCCGTGTCCCAGATGGAGAGCGCGACATCTCATGAAATTTGGCCAGCATGTCGATCAGCCACTGCCAATCGGACGGTCGGCATTCGTCCAATGCATCTAGAACGCATATCACATCACGAGCCACGTCGGCCATTGCAGCTGCGAGCAGTATACGCCATAGTTCCGGGACCTCCTTCGCCAGACGGTGGCCAGTCTTCTCCCATGCCGGGAGGGCGTATTGAATCAGGTGAGGCTGATGGGAAAACAATTGATGTAGGAGCGCACATAGAGCCGTGCCTAAGTTATCCTGCTCCTCGTTATCCTTGAAGAAGAAATAGCAAACGGTTCGGTCTTCCGTGGTCCGAAGCTCATTGTCAACGAGTGATTTGGCTAGCACCGACTTGCCACAACCAGGGTCGGCTGAGATCCAGAGCAGGTCATCATGGGGGGTTGTATCCCACTGGCGATATTGAGGGTGAGACAATACCCATTGGCAAGTGCCTTCTACTCGGTTGGGATTGACGTCCTTGAATCGCTCGTATGTGCTGGTCTTGAAGGCTTGACAACAATCGCGAGATTGTTGGCTCTGGTAACGCTGTTCTTGTTTCTCATTTCCTTGTTTCACCTCGTGGACCAAAGATTCTATAGAGAGTATTGTGAATCAGTAATTCTCCAAGGCGCCTATGACAAGATCGACGAACTAATAGGTTCTACTTACTAACAACTTCCCGAATGGCCTTCTCACGGCTGATCTGCTTCGGTTGTATATAGGTGAGAAGCTCTTTGGCATAAGCGGCCGCCGTCAGAGCCGCGTACCTCTGCCATGCATCATTCTTGTGCGAGTCTGCATAGTCACAGATGCCTCGGATGACGATGCAAGGGAAGTCGTTCATCAAACCAGCCGCCTCCATTTCCACGCACAGCGCCCCCAGCTCGCCACTCAGTCTATCTCTCGCGGCGGCATTTCTGATCAACTCATTTCCCGACGCAATAACGCCGTACCAAAATGCAGGATTTGCATCCTCATGGGCCGGTCTTGCGATCTTTCCATCCGCGCACAAGCCGCATAAGTTGGAAGAATTCGAGCCACCACACCGAGAGCAATATAAAATGTCTTTTTCCCGCCCGGGAAAGGCATACCCATTTTTTGTTAACTTGGGACGTTGCTGATAAATTTTAGCCATGAGATCTGGGACTTTGCTGTCAGCGTACTCATGTTCTGCCTGTAGACGGGAGAGGGCCGCCAGGAGCATCGTAGGCGGCGTGGTCAAGGTGCCCTTCCGTTCAAAGTGGTTGTCACCTAGGTTCTTGCCTAAGTCATACTGGACAACACCACCATGGGTTTGTTCAGGCTGGCTGATCACAACGTCCCCCAGGCGAATATCTTTCTGCGGAGTTGGGACCCCTCCTCCAATACCCAGCATTAGTCCGAAGCGCAGGCCGGTGAATGTCCTCACCATGTCTCTAGCAACCCTTGCTGCCGAGACTGTGCCGTACACACCTGCTGGCAAGGAGGCAATGACCACGTTATGTTCGTGAACTTTGCCCAACACGTAATTGTTGTTGTCGAGTTCATCCTGATCTGCCACCTGCTCATGATGCTCATCTAGGATGGCCATTGCTGCTGCCATCTCGTGAGGAAGCGCACAGATCACGCCCACTTGGTACTGGTCAATTTGGAGTGAGGGCCTCGAAGACATGGTTCTCGACTTTATGCAGGGCGTACTCTGAGATCTCAACGTAGAGTGTAGACGGTATGCCCGCAGCCGTCAACGCACGTGAGGCTAAGGTTCGATTCTGGCAAAAGCGCTCAAGTTCTCGAGGGGATTGGAGACTTCATATTTGGTATTGGAGGACACCAGCCAGCGAGCGCGCTAGGGAGGGGAGGCATGCGGCTGATGGTAGGTCGCGAGGTCCAAGATGGCAGGGCGACAGAGAGAGAAACTCGAACAGGTTGGATTGGACGACTCAGCAGATTGTGAATGAGTCGCAAGGGGAATTGAGACAGTATGAGGCCAGAAAGGAGATGGGTAGGGAAGCAAAGAAAAGGAGGAGGAGGAGGAGGAGGAAGAAGAAGAAGAGGGGGAGGGAGCGGCGACATGGCAATGAGGCTGAGAATATACAGTCTGAAATCTTGGTGGTTGATTCCCAGACCTCAGGGTCCGAAGGAGCCAACAACAACATGTTGTGCTCGTTGGCCGTACTCCGTAGACTGGCTGGATTGCCACGTAGCTGGACGGCACTGGGGCGCTTAAAAGGTTGATCGAGTCCAATCACACCGGTTATGTGTAGAGTCGTTTTCAGCTGGGTGCTTCTAGTAGGGGCCAGGGTCTAGCTGGCTCGCTAAGGGCCAAATCAGAGGGCTAGGGGGCTGAGTCCTCCTACCTGGACACTGCAAGTTCGAGGCGAAGCCCAGGCAGTAATGCAGCCACGACTCGAGCTAGGGGAGAATAGAGGGGGGCCGATGCGGTATGGGATGATGCCGGGCGGCTCCGTGTGATGCACACTGGGTGTATCAGAGCGATGGGAGTGAGCAAAGACACTTGAGTGATGGGAGAAAGATACAGTGCAGACACTGTACTCCGTAAACTAGGTGGCTTTGGAATGGGAGGAGCGTTCAGTTCTCACGGACGTCTATTAATTGGCTCTACTCTTGGCGAAGTTGCCTGATGGTGTCACGAGCCAGCGACAGTCTGAGATGCCTGAGACAAGTTCGTGTCCATGTCCAAGTCCAAGGGGGCGGCGTGCAGCCTGCCAGCATAGGTAGATGTACTCAAAAAGGTAGGGTGCTT